TCTCCCCACCTGCCCGGAGGCATCCACGCCCAGGGCAATCCTGGGAGCAGAGGTAACTGTTACTGTCCTAACCCCTGAGATCTCAGGGTTCATCTGTGGCAGCAGCTGGCTTCTGGCGGACCCCTCACTATGATCAGATCATTCCTCTTCCTTTCAGGCGAGAAACTGACGCTCGGAGGGAGTCGTGGCCACGCAATCGCTACGTAGCTCCCAGGATCTGAACCAGCGCAGGCTTAACAGAGCTCAGCTCCTACGAGTCTCCTACGAGCGTCAGACCAGTACGTGGAACCAGAATTTCTAATTTACAGAGGACACATTCATACAGAATTTCGTTCTGAAGTTCTAAAAAAAAATCACTTTCTCTCCGAGAAACAAGTAAAGAACAATGTTACCTTAAATCAAAAAGGTATTAATAGCCCCCCAAAAGTTTCAGTGGGGCTTTACAACAGACAGGAGGTACATGGGGATATTTTTAAATACCGTGTCCATGAGAGAGACTAGGCTTCCTTACCATTGCACGTAACCATATAGAGTTTTAATTTTCTAATCCAACTTTTCCTGTTTGATTTTACTTGAGCCTTCCCTATTTATTGACAATTATATAGCATGATTTATAATATTGTCACTTTTAAAATAGGATTCAATAAGTGAAAAAAATCACTATTTCAATCACCGCTGAACTGCACCTCCATTAGTAATCAAGATGTACCCATGAAAAGAAGTGCAAGACATACTACTGTGGAGCAAAAGCAAGTTACAGGACAGTGTTTACAGCATAATTCCATTTGTTTTCAAAACATATCTACCTGCCTATATTCTTTTCTGTGCATATACGTCTCTCACCTACAAATGAAAAGCCTCGGGAAGGAACACGAGGCAGTTTCCAGTGATGTCCTCTGGGGAACAGAGCTCAGCCCGCGGTTGATACCTTTTGTTAGAGTCTGAATTTACGACGAGCATGTGAACTTTTAGAGCAAGAAATGCTGTCAAATAGGACACATCTATGATTTACAGTAACGTAAAGTGATCAAACTCCCCAAATCCCACATTACAGTGATCTACAGGGAAGCACCTAGGCTGGGATGAAACACTGTAGCCCTTTTTAATAAATGTATCGCCTAATCTGCTTCACTCATATGTATGGATACACAGGGTGTCTGCAACAATGTATACACTTTAACAGCTGACAGCTCAATTTTGAAAATGAAAAGTATTTTAATAAACACTGCCTTTATAATTATCCAAAGTGTATGTATACATTTTGGGGGGATACCCTATATATGTCTGTTTATATATCTGTAAGTCTATTTTAAAACAAACACACAAAACAGTATATTCTAATCAGGAGATTTTGATCACAGTTAACCGAGCACATTCCTTTTTGTGAAACAGTTCTAATCTGGGTTATAGCAGGAAAAATAGTATGTTAGAATTATAAAACACTTCTCTCTGGGTTTTAGACTTTACAATGTTTGGAGGACTATTTTAGTCTTTAGGTTTTGTTCGGATGTTTCAGACCCTTCAAGAGACAAGAGCAATTCAAAACCAAGTATCATCTGTCAAGCACCTCACTGTGTCCTAAGCGCTATTTTAAAATTATTTAACATTCATCAAAATAGCATTTGTCAAGAGCTCAGAGGTGGTTATTATTGTAATTACAGTATATTAAGAGATAATGTACCTTCACCTAGAATCTTGTACAACTGGATGACAGCGAAACAGGAAACAAAGTCTTACTACCTGTGTTAACAGAACTGGGGGAGGGGAGACCACAGTAAAGATAATCCAAAACAGCGAGCGTTCAAAATGAATTATATTTGACTCTGAAATGTTGTTTTAACCTGCTTGCTTCAGTCTGAGAAACTTTCTGATAGTTTGAAAATTCAAAGTCAAAATATGTGTGAAGCCCGGCCGGGTGTGGCTCAGAGGCTGAGCACGGACCTATGAACCAGGAGGTCGGGGTTCGATTCCTGGTCAGGGCCCAGGCCTGGGTTTTGGGCTCGATCCCCAGCAGGGGGCGTGCAGGAGGCGGCCGGTCGNGATAGTTTGAAAATTCAAAGTCAAAATATGTGTGAAGCCCGGCCGGGTGTGGCTCAGAGGCTGAGCACGGACCTATGAACCAGGAGGTCGGGGTTCGATTCCTGGTCAGGGCCCAGGCCTGGGTTTTGGGCTCAATCCCCAGCAGGGGGCGTGCAGGAGGCGGCCGGTCAATGACTCATCATTGATGTTTCTCTCTCTCTCACCCTTCCTCTCTCTGAAATCAATAAAAACATGTTTTTTAAAAGAAGAAAAGTCACCCTTCCACCACCCCTGGAAACTGAAAATACAACAAAAAGCAGAAATTACACACCAAGAACCTCAAGAAGTCTTTCGTGTTCAGGTGATGGCGCCTGGACCAAGTTAACAGGGCAATCGGTATGTAGGGGGCCGAGGGGAGCCCAACAGAAAACATTTTAAAACCATCTACTGAAACACATGCAGTGGCATTTCTCATCAGAAAAGATGATCCCTCGTGATCTCTCCTTGATAACAATGGTATTCTTGGGCTTAAAAAATAATAAAACTGGGGAAGTTTTAATTTATAATTCAGATATATGGATCTAGGCAAGATTTCATCTGAATTGGTTTACAATTTTAAAAGTTACTAAAAGCTTGTCATCACAGCCCTGGCTGCGCAGCTCAGCTGGCTGGGACGCTGTCCCAGACACCGAGAGGTCAGAGGTCAGAGGTCAGAGGTCAGAGCCCAGTCAGGGTGTGTACAGGAGGCAACCAATCAGTGTTTCTCTCCCACACCAACGTTCCTCTCCCTCTCCCTTCCTCTCTCTCTAAAATCAGTTTAAAAAAACAAGCCTGCACTCAGACTTGCCCTGAGCAGGTTAAAACAAGTGGAATGGTCCGGCTTTAACTTGATTAGTAAAACTTCCTATACTTTTATACACTTTAGTGGATGCATGAAATTTTCACTTTAGAAATTCATTCCTAAAACTACCAGATTGGGTTGAATCGTGTCCCCAAAATTCATGTCCATCTCAGAACTGTGACCGTGTCTGAAAACAGTCTCTGCAGATGTGACCAAGTTAGGATGAGGTCGCACCGGAGCAGGATGGGCCCTCAGTCCAGTGCGGCAGTGTCCCTACAGGCAGGGAAACTCTGGGCACAGACACGCACAGACACGGGGGCAAGGGCACGTGGCGATGGACAGAGGCTGAAGTGGTGCAGCCGCAAGTCAAGAAACACAGAGGACTGGCCAACGGAAGGACTTACACGCACAACCCACGGACACAGACAGCCTGGGGCGGGGCGGGGCCGGTGGAGGGGACAGTGGGGGGAAGGTGGGGGACATCTCTAATAGTCTCAACAATAAAGACAGATGATTGATTGATAGATGATGATAGACAGACAGACAGAGACAGATAGGATAGACAGACAGACAGACAGAAGGCTCGGGACAGGCCCCCCTCAGAGCCTCCAGAGAAAGCAGCCCGGCGGCCCACACCTGGATCCCGATGTTTAGCCGAACGCGACGCCCTCGCCGCACGTGGCAGGCTGGCCCGTCACCAGGTGGCTCGGCCACGGGCTCCCCACGCAGCCTCCCCCATGCACGTGCAGACGGAAGAAAACCTGGTTCCTGACACCAGAAGAGGTCCTTCTCCTGGGACAAGCTGAGGATATTCCAACTCACCCTTGGGCGAGGGCCCACGGAAACCACGTGGCGGACAATAGGGAACAGAGGCTCTGGTGATACTCACGTCGCTCTGTGTAAAAACCCAAGGACCGCGCCGCGGAGGCGTCCGCCCCACCTGTGCCTACAGCCTCACCAGCGGCACCTGCCCGGGGTCCCAAGTCAACCCCTCGCCCCAAAGGCACCCCCTCTGTAAGGACCGCGCCCCGCCGCTGTCCCCTCCCACAAGCCTGTGAACGAGCCGCAGCCTCGGCCCCTCAGCGCCACGTCCCCGAGCCTGCCTCCTCTCTGGCTTCTTCGGGAAGCCTCACCGGTCACTCGCGGCTCCACGTCCTTACCTCTCACTCGCCACCGAACCTTCTGCAACCCGGCTAACAGCCCAGGTCCCGGGTACGCGATGGACTGGGGGTCTCTGAGACACCATGGGCTGTCCTCACCGTCCCCAGAGCCGCTCCTGACCCACCCACCCGGGGCTCCGTAGCGTCCCTACAAACCTCCTCTCCCGGCTTCTCCGGCTGGTCCTCCGCCTCCCGACAGTTTCTTCTGACCGCTGGGACCCTCCTCACCAGACAGGCTCTACTTCCCTCAGCCTCTGCCTTCACGCTGGCTCTCGAGGTCACCCCACGACCCACGTACCCAAAGACCCAGTGGCCGCCTTCACCCGAGTGCCACACAGGCACCTGCCATTCAACGCACCCAAGACTGAACTCGGCATCGTCTGGCTTCGACCCAAATTTGTTCCATCTGCCTGGAAACGCCAATCGTGTCAGTTTCCTCCTCTAAGTCTCCCCCACTAGTCACACCCCTGAAACCTCTTCGACCTGTTGCCGCTTCACCGTCCCCAAAACTGACTTATTTCAGGCTCCCTTTCCTCTCACCTGCTAACACCTGACTGCTTCCAGGCAGACACGCTGAGAAGGCGAATCTGACGCAGCTCCCATCTTCGTCGAGGTCACACACGCCAAGTCAGGGACAGAAACACGGGCTTCTCACCGGAGCACGGAGGACCCTCCGACACAACCTACGCCCACCAGGTGAGCCTCGCCGGCCACCTCTCCTCCGCAGGTTACACGCGTATCACATTTACCCCTTTATCCACCCGTCAAAATTCTTGGCCTTTACGTGAGGTTCCCTCTGCCTGGAACACCTCTGGACGGTCTTCACCAGCTTCAGTCTGAGTGTGACCTCGGCCAGGAAAGCGTCAGGTAAGCCTCAGGGGGCAGTGGGTGGCTCCTCCTTCCAGCACTCAGAGCGCGTACACACCCCACCGGGTCCACCCAGGCCCGCCACCCGCCTGCGGGATTTACAGGCCCCGCACCTTCCCGTTCTGCAAGCTTCTGATGCCCAGCGCAGGGCCCGGCAGAGCCGCAGGTGCTCAGCACCGACCAAATCCAACGCGCGGATCCCCGCACACGGCATTTTAACACATCGACGGCTTAAGACAAACATGAAACTAGTCAACTTTGTACTGAAGAGGCTTTCCCATACTGGTACTTACAAACACACACACACCCCCCAGCCCCGCAGAGGCCAATTCCACCTCTCACAGAAGGAAACTCAGGCCACGGTCGTACAGTCAGGCGAGCACAAGTGCTGAGGCTCAAACCCCCGTCCTAAGGTGTCTTAAAATCCCCCTCTGCGGGATACTAAGAGCCCTGAATGCTTAGCAAATACCTACCAAGCACCTGCTCCGTGCACCTGGCACGTGCATGAGGCAGAACCGTGACCCGGGAAGCAGCCCTCCCTCTGCTCTGGGCACAGACCCTCCTCCCTCCCTCCCTATGGAGTGGGCGTCTTCCGACCTCTGTACCCACCCTCAGGGCACCTCAGGAGGCCACGACAGGAAGGGAGGGACAGAGTCTGCGTCCAAGGCCTGGAAAATCCTGGCGTTTTTGCTTACGAAGGTTAACCAGGTTGATTCCTCATTACTAAAAGGGCTGTGGGTTAAAAACGGGGGGGAGGAGGGGCCTGTGGATGAAGTAACGTATGTGAAATTACTGGGATGCTAAATCAATGTTAATGGAACATGAATAGTCATTTACCACCTTTACAGAGGTAAGCAGGCCCGGAAGTGTTTCATTTTTTGTTCCAATTTTAAAAAATTTTTTTTAGCAATTGGTTAGACTCGCTGAGCAGCTTTCCACGGAGGGACCACTTCACCCGCTGCCCATCAGTGACATCTGGCCAGTCTAAAGCCATCGTCAAAACACTGACGCTGGACAGAGGAACTCACCACTTACTGCTGCAGACAGACCCCCTCTGGAGTCCCACAAGCCAGGCTGGAAAGGGACACGTGTCTGCAGGGCCCCAGGACTTTGTAGCTGGTCGGTGCTCTGATTTCTCCAACGGTCTCTGCAGGACTCAGACCCCCTCATCACTCCCTCCAGCCTGTTCTCCCCCCACACCCTGCTTCACTCACGGAGCAGGATGATCAACGTCTGAGGCTTCCTTACAGCCCAGTCTTTAGAGGGAGGGCTCCGGGGTGCAGTGCACACGAGACACTGAATCTCCTACCACGGCCCGAAAACACTAGAACTTAGGGTTAATAAGACGAAATACTAAATTTAGCTCTCCTAAAATTTGGCAATCCACACCTATGTAATTGATTATCACAGATGCACCGGGTGGGGCAAAAGTAGGGTTATGGTTGTCCGTATGGAAAATAATGCAATAATTATTACATAATACAAGAATAAACTCTTCCACATACTCACAGCTGTAAACCTACTTTCGCCTACCCCTGTATACAATTTATTCAAAAAGGAAAATTAAAAGGATACACATGTTGGAGCCACGGATTCAAATTCTTGCTAACGGAGGGACGATTCAAACGCTGGATGGAAGACAACTGCGTGGGAGCCACAATTAGACGGTGAACTCTGGTTAAATCCCACGTGGGGCCGTGACATACAGTGTATCGCGCTTTTATTAACCAGACTCCTCTCAAACAGGCCGAGCAACTTCCCACCCCGGTGCCACCTGTCCTTAAGTCCTTCCTTCTGTCTGGTGGCCGCCCACTGGCACACGGCTCCTGCCCTTCGCCGCAACTGTCCACTCACCTCACCAGGAAGCCCTCACTGGGCCGCGTAGCGACGGGCGGTCAGTAACCACGCTGTAAATCGAAGGCCACGAGTTTTAAGCCAAATTATAATACGGGGCTACTGTGAGGAAACACTCAGGTGCCTTTCTCTCTCTCTCCCCCTCTCCCTTCCTCTCTCTGAAATCAATCAATAAATAAAACATTAAAAAATAAAACACCTTCCACGGTAGCTCACAGCTGCTCCACAAGGGCCCCACTTCCCCACCTGTAACTCACCCGGTTGGTTATTAGTCATCAGCCCTGAGTCGGAGGTAAAATGAAGGGCTATGGAACTGGCATTGCTGCCCCTTAAGTGGCTGAAAGGCACCGAGCTTAGCGTTCGGCATCATCTCCCTAAAAGCTCAGGGCTCAATGAACTCGCCTCGAGTCCCGTCAGAACCATCAGGAGGCGGCGCCTGCACTTCACTTCCCGTGAGCGGTGCTGTGTGGAGTCGTCTGGGTCACACAGCTAATAAGCCGGGACGCTCAGGCTCGAACACGTGGCTGTGTCTGACGAGAGAGCACACACTCAGAACCTTAAAGCTCTGCTACCCGTCTTTTTTGTTTTGATTTTTTAAATGTGTCTTTATTGATTTCAGAGAGAGGAAGGGAGGGGAGAGAGAGAAACATCAATGATGAGAGTCACCGGTCGGCTGCCTCCTGCGCGCCCCCTGCTGGGGATCGAGCTGAACTGCAACCCAGGCAGGTGCCCTGACCGGGAATGGAACCACGACCTCCTGGATCACAGGTCGGTGCCCAACCGCGGAGCCACACCAGCCGGACTTGGTATTTTTTTGAGAGAGAGGGAGAGAGAGAAACATGGATTAGCTGTCCCACTTACTGATGCATTCACTGGTTGCTTCTTGCGCCCTGACTGGAGATGGAACCCGCACCCTTGGCGTATCCGGACGACATTCTAACCAACTGTGCTGCGTGGCCAGCCTGCGCCCCCGTCTCGAAGTGAAGCATGAACAACTCATCACACAATAAAACAAAAATCTCGTCGTGTAATAACCCAGCCATCGGCCTTGTGGGTGACGGCAGAAAGGGAGGGGGGAAAGGAAGTAGGGTCAACAGACAACCATGGAAGAGAGGAGAAGAGACTGAGGCTGCCCATCCTCAGTGCTGGGCGCAGTAACAAGCGGGGTCTAAGGGGACGGAGAAGGGGAGGGGTCCAGTTTCCCCACCCACCTTACAAGACCACGGGCTGCCCTTACAAGACCACGGGCTAGTTCTATAAAGCATGACTAGCCCGCATCCAGGCTAAAATGACACTTGCACTCGCTGTAGGAAAAACTGTAAATTATGCATGGGACTCTGTTCACCTGCCCCTACGTGTAGCTTTGAAAGGATTCATTTATTTCAAAATTTAAAAACTGATCTCAGGGAAAAAACAAAAACAAAAACCTCATTAAAATATGAGGCTTGGAAATATTTAGAACCTATTGCAACAAGAGCTTATTTTTTAGAATGCAAAAGCAATTTACAAATCACTTTTAAAAAAGGGGTGGCCACCCCAACCCAAAAGGAAAGCGGGCAATGACATGTATCACCCCACCAACAGCCACCCCCTCACAGCCCGTTCCTGCTGTCAGGGCCACCTCCCCCTACAAGGCCTACGAGGAACAAGTGTCCGCTTTCCTGGCCTCACTGGCACCTAGGACAGGATATGAGCACGTGACGCGCCACAGCCAACAGGATCGGGGCAAACCTGCTGGGGCTTCCGGGAAAGGTTTTGTTCCACTGGCTGTGGGCATGTGGGCTGCTGGGACCGTGACCACACCCGACTCCTGGACAGATCCTTTCAGCTCTACCTTCAAAACATGCAGAACTGCTCTGACTCCCTTTTCCCAAACCCTCTCGCCCCGGCCTGCCTGCAATCGTCTCCCAACCGCCATGCCTGCCTCCGCCTTCACGCTCTTCATTCCAGTCCAGACACAGCAGCCAGCAGGAGCCTTTGACAGCCTTCATCAGATAAGGTCAGTCCTTGGCTCAAAGAGATCTCATCTCCCCAGGATAAAAGCCCAAAGCGCTCCTGATGGCCTGGGAGGCCCTGCCCTTAGCGGCCCAGCACTCAGCCCGCCACGCTGGCGTCCTCCGAGTGGTTGGACAGGATGCACTCCTGCCTCGGGGCCTAGCTCTCTCTCTGTCTGAAATGCTCTTCCCCACCCGTGGGCCCTGCCCTCTTACCACCTGTGAGGCTCTACTCAAAAGTCAGCTCCAGGAGGCCTTCCCTGGCCACCCCATTTAAAATAACCCCACTCTGCCCGGCCAGGCGTGGCTCAGCGGTTGAGCGTCGACCTAGGATCCAGGTGATCAGGGTTCAATTCCCGGTCAGGGCACATGCCCGGGTTGCGGGCTCGATCAATGACTTTCATCACTGATGTTTCTCTCTCTCTCTCCCTCTCCTTTCCTCTCTCTGAAATCAATAAAGATATATATAAATAAATAAATAATAAATAAATAAATAAACCCCACTGGGCCTGGCCGTCCCCTTCAGTGCCGTTTTCTCTAGGACCCTTCGGACACACGGCCCCTGTCGCCTACCTGTCTCCTCCCTGGCCCCCACCAGAAGCAAGCTCCCCAAGGGCAAGACACCAGTCTGTTTGCTCAGCGCTGTTACTTCCCACTCTTGGAGACGACTGCCTGGTGCACGGCGGGTGCTGAATAATTATTTCAGTGAACTCACACAGCAACCATCTGCAGCACGCCCAAGACGGCAGGCCAGGGAGGAGGCGAATCTGGGTCCCGGTCACCTCACCGAGCTACTGAGTGACTTCTGGACTTCTGACCCCGTGAGAAAATTGTACCCATCACTTCGGACACTGTAAATTAAGGTTTGTGTGATTTGAAGCCAAAAGGTACCTTATACAGGACATAAGTAGGCGGTTTGGGGTAAAAAAATAAATAAAAATAAATAAAAAAGCTAGTGGTAAGTATAGTCATTTTCACTCAATGAGGCGGGCAGATTAAAATAACCATGAAATAATGTCGCACGGAAAAAACATAAAAGTTTAATACACATACATCCCATTCAACACGACTCACCGAAACACTAGCGGTATTCAGCTATTTTTTAAATTTTTATGCAAAACACGTGTCATCCGTGAGAGTTAATCCATCGCCTGCATTTCCCCCGCGCGCCGGGTGCTAGACAGGATGCTCACCTTGGCCAACAGCAGACTCAGACGAGGTCCCCCGCGCCCTGCCAGGAGCCACGCGTCCACGCGCCCACAGGAAGCCCACACGACAGGGACTACTTTTCAGTTACCCCGTTTCACAGCTGGTAACGCTGAGCTACAAAAAAGACCAAGGATCAGCCCGAAACCAAGCAGCTACG